TTTTTAAAGAGAAATCTACTGATCAATCCTGTCCCTCCAGAAGAAAAAAAAATTGCTTATTTCTATATATTTAACAAAATGTGCAATATTATCATCTACCTTAAAGCCTTTTCCAAGTAATTCTTAAAATGGAAATGAATCTACATTTTTTAAGTATGTTTCTTCTGCTGTAGAGAAAATAAAATAATGTTAAATTAACAAGTTAACTCAGTTTACTAAAGAAATCCACATTATTCTGTCTCCAACATATAATAAAGCAGAATAAATGTAAAAAAATTTTCTCTGTACTATTTTGGACACCCAGAGATTTAGTTAATCCCAGCAGAGAACCATCATAACCAACCATCTATGGAACGCATACCAAATATTTCCACTGAACCAGATCTTGTTATGAGTTATATAATATCTTTTATTCCAGATAACTATTCAATTCTGTGAGAAATCAGTTTAACCAGATTATTCTTTAAATCTGTAATTTAACCCGCTCCGCGGTCCATCATGAGCCGCATATTATTATTTATAGAACTTCTTTAAGAATTGAGATAATCTCTCTGAAATAATATTGGATTGACTTGATTGAAGAGTGAAAATGTAGATCTATGAGTTTCTGATTGTTATTAGTCTCCTATTTTCTTTTATTTCAGGTCTTTTTTAGGTTTTGAAATTAAAATCATGACGACATTTCTCATCATAGGTGGAAATGTAAAGTCTTTGAAGCAGAGTGATTATCTTATATTATTCCAGTGAGTCCATCTGAACCAGGAGCTTTATTGGTTGAGAGATGATTAATAGGAAGTTGACTATTTTAAGTGTTATCATTTTATGGAGTTAAAGCGTTAACTTAAATTCAGCAGCAGGGTCACACCCAAATCACTCCTCTGATTCACAAATACTCTATTTACACTCTGCTCAACCCTTCCTCAATAGATAATATCAAATTCACCATTTTCCATATCTTGTTTCAGTTTATTAATTTTTTTTCTTTTTTTTTTTTTTGCTAAATAAAATTGTGTCGACTTGTCCATGGCGACCTGATGGACTGAATGGGAGAAGATGGACGGATGGATACTTTACTAATTAATGACTGATCTGATTTTTTGGCATCATTCTTTAACAAGCTGGAATTACATTTCCAAAAAACATTTGATAGACTTCTTGTTCTTGTTTTAATATCTATAATAAAAACAGTGATCAGTTAAGGGAGCCGCTGATAGTGGAACTGATAACATAATCTAGAAGGTGGTTGGAGATAATCCAGTGATTAATTCATGATCCTCAAAGATATTCTGGACCAAACCAAGAGAATTGATTTACTTCCAGGTTCAAATGTCTCCAAGCATCAGTTCAATTAAGTTTATTCGAAAAAATGATGAAAAAAGTGCATAATTAGGGTGCTTTGACAAACTCCAAAAAATCATCTTATTATTATAGTTTCTTATGGTGTTCTTCAATAGAGTGGCGTGATTGAACTGTAAAGTGCCTTGAGATGACATGTGTTGTGAATTTGGCGCTATATAAATAAACTGAATTGAAAATTGAATCTCATCCAGAAGTTTTTTTGTTTTCAGAGGTGTTATTATAGCCACAGATGTTTAATAAAGTACTTTTCACAGTGTCAACAATAATGATAAAACCCAATCAGGGATCCTAACTATCTGCAGTGTGTCAAATAATCTGTCCAAGAAAGTTTTAAACTAAACACAGCGACCCCTGCTGGCCTTAAAATGCAATGACTAAAGTAAGAGAAGTTACTGTATTGCTGAAACAGCCTCTGATTGGAAATTAGTTTCTTCAATGAGTGAAATGTGTTCATTTCCATTACAAATTAATAAAATATATATTTTTTTTTGTTTGTTTCTCAGGCATCTTGAGTTAAGAGATAGAAGAGAGATTTCACTTTTAAATTGTGAACAGATTATTAGGAAATAAAATATAAAAATATCCAATAGTTATTCCATGAGTTTTAATGGGATGTTAAAGGAGCAATCCCCTGTAAACATTACCAACCTTAGGACAGGTGTAGGACCAACTCTGACAGAATAAAAAACTAATATAGAACTAGATTAGAAGTCACCTGCTGCACATCTGAGTGCTTCAGATTCAGAGCAAATTGCATTAATCTTTTTACAGTCGTTATCTGATTTTCCAAACTACTTTAAAAATATGATAAAAATCAAATGAGGAACTTTTCACCAATTTTTAAACAGATTTATTAAAGGGATTTTTTTGTGTTTAATAAAATTTTTTGTGGTAGAGTTTGGTTCAATTTGAGAAATGAATAAAAGTTGTCATTTTAATTTAATAGCTGACATTCAGCTACAGACACACAGCTTTTAATGCTCAATGTTTAAGATATTTATCCATCTAATCCGTTCAGATTATGTTTTTGATCGCACTCTGTCCAAAATCTGGGGGAATGTGATGTGTTTATTTACTGGCATTGGCGGCAGTGGCGGATCTAGACCAAATGTACCAGGGGGCCAGGAGGGGCCCAGTGTGTTTTCATGGGGGCCCAGAAAAGCATGAAATAAATAATCAGGGCAAGAGATTCAAATATATTAATATAGCTGCATGAAGAGAAATTTATTTTCAATGAGTTTCAATAAAAATATATTTCTTATGAGGTCAATATACATTTATAATTTAGGAATTTTACATATTTTTCACTTAATTTAAGTTAAAACTACTGTTTTCTATACATTTGAAATTTGAACTCAAGAAAAACTGTTAAATTCATCTGTAAAAATTAGAGCATTTTTTTCTTTATTAAAAAACATTTGACAGATGAAAACTGGGATCCTATCTCAATCCCACTGAAGCTATCACCTTATTGTTTTTTAATAATTTGTAAAACAGAATTTGTAATGAAAAGAATGAAATAGATCCAAATGACCTATCAGTAATCATGTCTGTTCCAGCCCAGATCATTGTTAGAATTTCTTTTAAATATTATGTCTTCAGGACATGATCTACAGGGGCACTGGCCCCCGTTGGCCCCTGTCTAGAACTGCCCATGTTTACTGGATTGCTAATTGCCCAAAAAAAAAAAGCCACCAGCCGCCATTTCCAAGGAGACGCTCCATAAAAATGCCTCCCTGTGTCGCATTTGGCTGCATAAACAAGCAGTTTTCCGGCTGTAGGAAGACGTTCCACACGTAATTTCACTGCCAGGGTCAGTTTGTGCAGACATACTTTTATGAGTAGTTTTTTTTTTTTTTTTCAAATGATCAGATTATTGTTGTAACTAAGAGCAAAAAGCAAAACATGAACTTGATGTTGCCTGTTATTTTACCAACTGATGTGATTTTGCTAGTGTAAAAACTAAAGCTCTGTGGAGTTATTCATTTGGTTCATTAATTTAGCTCTATTGTTAATCTGTCAGATTTTTAGGCTAATGCACAGACACAGCATAAATATATGGCATCATGCATGCACAATTTGCAAATAGAAAAATACTACACTGCAAAAACAATCTAGAAATAAGTCAAAATGTCTTAAATTAAGTATATTTACCCTCAATTTGAGCAAATAAATAAGATAATTTGCCAATGGAATGAGGACCTTTACTCTTAAAATAACGTAATTAGATAATATACACTTGAAATAAGAAAATGAAGTTGTTTTTTTCTTATTTTAAGCGTAAATGGTATTTTTCCATTGGCAAAGTGTCTCACTTACCTCCTCGATTCAAGAAAAATACACTTATTTTAAGAAAACAAAAGACTAAAGACTAGATTTCGATTATTTCCACTGTATAGCATTAACAGACATCTACTGGTAATTCAGTCTTTATGTAAAATCTTAAAATTATATGTAAGATATAATTACCATAACAACGTAATAAATACGTGTATATTACATGAAAATCATTATCGATTATTCTGCTGCATTAACACATTAATTTCACTGTGATGCATTTGAATTATATGTTATATTACATGATTTATAGACTTCATTGACTTCATCATGACTCTGCAATGTGATGGGCTGATTTAATTATTATAAGTTAAAGTTAATCTACTGATGCTTTGAAGCAGCCAGTCTCTGTCAAAATGATGAATTTATCTTTATTTTAAAGTCTTAATTCCCCCTGAAAATGAGAAAATCATCATCGTTGTTCAATGCTGTAGCGCACAGATTATTTACATTGAGACCGGTCTAACTAGGGAGTACCAATATGGCGGCCAGTGGCTTCACTTCCACCCTGTTTATCCATCTAATCCTTTCAGATTATGTTGATGATCGCATTCCATCCAGATTACAATAGAAAAATCATTCTAGTCACTGAAGGTTTTCTTCGGTTGCGTGTTTAGGAGGTATAGAAGGTATTGGTGCATTTCTGCGGTTTAATAAGAAGCCAAACTGCTGACTTTCCACAACAGAGTCCAAACAGCACCGGTGTCAGAGATTAACTGGGTAACCTTTTATTTTTTTCAGATTAGAACGATGTTGCAAAGAACTTGTGTCCACAAAAAAAAAGTTAGTGCAAAGAATTTCACTTTGTGTGGAATTCAAGAATTCACGTGTACAGAAAAATACAAAAATCTGTCTCACAGCGGAGTTTTATTTCTCCTGCTGAACCAAAAACTATAAACCTACGGAAGAGGATTAGGGCCACTGAAAAAAACAAAAAAGTTAACTGATTTTTAAATTTTATTTCAGTTTAACATGGGAAAAAAGTTATAATTCTGACTTTTTTCTCAGAATTCTGACGATTAAAGTCAGAATTCTGAGGGAAAAAAGGTTGGAATTCTGAGATTAAAGTCAGAATTCTGTTTTCCTATGATAAACTGAAATAAAAATTAAAAATCAGTTAACTTTTTTTTCAGTGGCCCTAATCCTCTTCCGTAATAAACCAAAACCTGCAGCTTGGAACGCCCACTGCGTTTATTCCTGAATGTAAATATAAATGCATTAAAGAGGCCTGTCATCCAGAACGCATCACATGTGTAAGCAGCACCTTTTCTAATGTGGTGATGAATGTATCATTTTCAGTCAGGCACCGCTGCAGACAGCTACGCTCCGCTTGTTGGGTCCTTTTTACAGTGGCTGGGATTAGCCATTAGCTGCTAACATGCCGACTGTCGGAATTAAAAGAGACTTTCTTTTCAAAGCTTTGGGAAAAACATACAGTGAGTTTTTTTACTTTTCACTTTAGCTTATTTTCACTTCAGCTTATTTTAGCTGTTGTCCATTTTTGATTTTAAGTTTAATTTATATTTTAAAAAGGAGTAACTCGTTGCTGCTGCGGCTGAACGTGCTGCTGACAGTTCATTGATTGTTGCTAACAGCTAAAGCTAAACATCGTTTGACTTCTCAGCCTGTTGAAACATTAAACTACTTCAGATTGTTTCCTACTTTTTAAAAGAATTTAATGTCAGATAATGTTGGATTAATCTGAAATAATCTGCTTCCCATCGGTTTATGTCTGCATGGTTGCATCATTTCCTGTCCTGCTTTAATGACAGTTTAACAGCTGTGGGATTATAATCTGATAAATAACCAGCTGAATAAAGTTTATTCCTTTTCCTTCTTTAGCTGATGAAGAATTTGAAGAGTTGTGCTTTGAGTTTGGCTTGGAGCTGGATGAGGTGGTAAGTAAAATAATTTCATTTTAAAAATCCAATCTGATCAAAGTTTGACTGAATCGCTGCTAAAAATAAGTCAAATAATCTTATTCACTCAAAATGTTCTGGAAATATTTTAAAAAAGTTTGTTTTTATTCGTTTAATTGAGTTTGAATCATCAGACTTTTAGTTTGTAAATCTGAGTTTTTATTCCTAAACAGCTTCTTTCATTTGAAAGAGGATTAAATATAATTTCCAATTAATCCAGGATCAGATGTTAAGGTTTGAAAAAGAAAAACTGCTGCATTTTAAAATGGAAAATTATGTTTTATATTCTAATCTGTAATAGGATTCATTGTTTTAAGCAAAATATAATATTTGCTGCTTTCCATCAAAGGTTTTACATTGACATTTCTTGAAAATCTAAATTTCCAGCCAATAGTGTTATTAGAATCACCTTAGAGGCACAAATACACTTTAGAGGCACTGATATATTTTTTTAATTAAATTTTTTTTTTTGCATTTTTAATAAACCTTAATATAAGTGTTATGGAGGATTATTAACTTTTCAATTAGCTTTTTACCTTTTTTCTTGACTTAACTTTTTTTTCCAGCTTAATTTCCAATAGGTAATCTAGTCTGTTGAGTTCATGTTCATGTGGATTTAAAGACATTTTAATTAGTGGAAAAATTGCAGGGGGGAATATAAAAAAAGTCTAATCAACTAAAACTTTCGTGACCCCCATGCAGTACCTCTGTGGACCCCATAGGGGTCACGGACCCCCTGTTGAAGACCTCAAATGGTTTTTGTATTCTGTCTGCTAGCTCTTTATTTCTAGCAACATTAGTTTTAGTTTAAAACTTTACATGTGGACAGAAAGAGATGAAGCAAATGTAAAGAATAATAAAAAGCTATATTTCCATTTCCATCCATCTGTGAACCTCTTTGCTGTGTCGCCATCCCAGACCTCGGAGAAGGAGATAATCAGCAGGGAGCAGGGAGACTCCAAAGCTGCTGACGCATCTGATGTCATTCTCTACAAGATCGACGTTCCTGCTAACCGCTACGACCTGCTGTGTCTGGAGGGCCTCGTCCGCGGTCTGCAGGTCTTCAAGAATAAGTGAGACGCGTAACATCGCAACGACAAAAATCATTTCTGTTGGTTGAAGCTTCTTTTTCATCTGGATAAACACCCCCCCATGTGTTTCAGGCTGGAGGCTCCTAGATACAGGCGCCTGAGCCCAGACAGCGGCGAGCCGCAGCGGCTGATCATCACTAAAGAGGTGTGAGGTCACAGGCCCTGAAAATGGCTAAAGCTTAGCTTTAGTCCGGGAGTTTTTGACGCTTTCCTCTCATGCAGACGGCAGCAGTGAGACCTCACGCCGTGGCCGCCGTTCTGAGGAACATCACTTTCACTCAGGAGCGCTACGACAGTTTCATCGAGCTGCAGGAGAAGCTGCATCAGAACATCTGCAGGTCGGTGCCGCCTGAGCCTCGATGCTGATTGGCTCAGCTCTGTTGGACAGGATGAGGTCACAGTCGCGTCGATGACTTTTCCTCGTTTCGATCTAATATTAAAGAAAACGTTAAACATCGTAACAGTTTAATAAACCGGTTACAGCTTAACCCTACAACTCCCAAGACCGTCACTTTGACAGTTCTGAGATTTTAAAGGGAAAGAACTTTATTTACATTAATCATATGTTGCTCATCTTAACTGACTTTTCCTGTTTTGATATTTCCTTCATTTTCACATATAAAAATGGTTAATTTTACCTCGATCTCCTACAGCCGTCATTTTGACGTCTCTGTTGTTGTGTTGTAAATTCTTCCCACGTTTGATTGACGTTCGGTACCGTTTCCTAGCAACCAACATTCTACCTAGAACTAACACAGAAAAATGGGTTTCAGAAGAAATCTAACAGCGAAACAGGCTTTAGAAATGCCTCCGAATATTGATGATGGCGTTTCGGGTGGAGAGAGAGACCGATGAGGAGGACTGGTTAGGAAGTGGCTCAGACAATAGTTAAACTTTAGTTTAGGGATGCACGATATAAATTGGCCCCCTATCGGTATCGGCCTTAAAACTGAA